GGGGGGGGGGGGGGGGGGGGGGGGGGGGGGGGGGGGGGGGGGGGGGAGATGACAAAAAAAAAAGAAAAAATACAACTTGCTGGCAGCTACAGAACGCTTTCCGAACACAGACCAGTGTGTGAGGGATGGTTCAAAAAGTGAAGAGAAAAAATAATACCTTTCCGTATCGAGGCCGCCTCCAGTTCCAGTTCGCGAGTAGAGGGGACGGCCCTTCCCAGCGGACATGACGGCTGCGAGCGCGGACGAGGGCGGTGGCGAGGTGGTAGTAGCGGCGGCGGTGGGCGGGCATTGCTTCTTCTCGCCGTTCCCTGCCTTCGCCGTCGCCGCCTCCTCCGCCTTAAGCGTGGCCGCTGCCGCATCGCTAGCGGCCGCGTCCTTAAGCACCTCCGTCAGCCACTCCTGAAAACAACCACGAAGGGCTGTCAACTGACGCTTTTGACGCCGTCATGATGAATCAATCACGCACTGGGCCATGTTGTATCTCCGGCCAACGAGCGGTTCCGTCGCACACGCCAACAACACCGGCACCCTTCTCCCCGCTAGCCATCCGTAGACGAACCTCAGCACACCAACCAACGCCACATTACCAAGACATCGAAAACGGCAACGACAACAACAGCCAAGCACAAACAGCACCGCAGCACGGCAATACTCCCACCGCTACACCTCCACTCGTTCCGCGACGGCATCCATACACAGCAACCAACACGACAAAGCCATTCAAACAATCGAAAAAAGACAGCGCGCTCGTCTCCCCACCTGTGTGGCTTGCAATATTTCTACGCTACTCTCCGGGACCCTCCTCCCCGCAAGAACATGCTGGTGAGCCCACATCGAACTCCCGGCCCCTTGTTCCGCCTCTTCCCTGCCGTACGACGCCGCCATGCCGTACGCGTGCTCCAGGGAGGACCTGAACACCAAGACAAATCCCCCAAGAGTCAGGTGCCGCCGAGAAAACGAAAGTTCCGCAGCACCATCATTCGCCGTGCAAAAAGCCAGACGAGGTCGACTGCCTCGCTTGCTGCAATAAGGGCCATCCATCTATAAGTATTGTCAATTTCCTGTCCGGCGCGCTTCCGGTCCGCCCTGCAATGGTCTCGCCGTCTTTGTCAAACCACAAGGGTTTCGGTACGGAGACACACAAAACAACAACAACAACAACAACAACAACAGCAACGACCAGAACGAGAGTGCGCGGTGCTCAACATCACCTCGTCTTGGCGGCCCACTCCTCCCGCCGTATCTTCCGCGCGATCTCGCTCTTCTTGCGGTCCTCCGGGGAGGCGTCTGCCCTCAGGGGGGCGGTCCGAGCAGGGGTTGACTTGACCCGCGTCCCCTGCCGAGCCTCGGCCTCCTCGGACGAACCCCGGATCGACGCGAGGCTCTTCAAGCCTCCCTTCCTGTAGGGGCATCGATCGTTCATTGTCGTTGGTCAGGTTGTTCCTTGTCTTCGCTGTCTCTCGCCTTGTAGACGAACGAATCAACGAAAGAGCCACATGTTCAAATGCCGTTCAAGTACTTCGATAAGAACGAAACAGTAGTAGAAGAAATCTACTATCTTTCTTGCACATTTCTCAATCTTTTGTGCAACGTGCTTACCCAATCGCTGTAGCCGATTGATTCCATTCAATCATCCCTCGTGCTAGCGTACGTATACAGCACAGCACGAACATGCTGTCTTGTTTTGTTCTTTTTCTCGCACCTATAGACGACGTCGATGCTGAAGGCCGGGTGGGGAGAGTGTCTGGAGGCCATGCGCGACTGCTTCGGCTTGGGGCGATGCCGGTAGTTCTGCCCCCCGCAACCACGAGACATCAACGAACGAAAGAGAACAATGATCGGCGGTGAGGGTGGTGATCATCGACACCCGAACGGACCGGTGTACGGGTACGTAGACCGGGTACCGTTATATGTTTTCCCACACGGAGAATCACGCGCGCGCGGTAGCAGGAAAAGCCGCAACTGCTCATCGAATCGTCAACGAAGCTTTGATCGAATGCTTGCATCGAGGGTGGACCAAACGACCGATCACGACGCATGTTGATTGAGAGGAGGAAGAAAAAAAAAACATACCGGGTGGAAATGTGAGTGCGTGATGTATGTGCCGAAGTCCTGGCAGCCTCCGTCGCACGCGCTCTGCTGAAGCAGCTGGTGCGTGTGCTCCATCGTCTCGTAGTCCCTCAGCTCCTGCCATGCGGTTATGGTGAACACAACAGCAACAGCAACAGCAACAGCAACAGCAACAGCCGACGAATATCGGCTTCAACGGACCAACAATGAGCCCAGTATCCAGTCGGTTTTCTTCCCGTTCACTCGGGGACTTCCAACAGCAACAACGACAGCGACAGCAACAGCAACAGCAACAACTATTGGCTTCAACAGAGTAACATGAAGCCCAGTATCCAGCCGGTCTTCTTCCCATTCACTGCGAAGTCAAGGCTTCCATACATCCCCTTCGACTGTGGATACATCTCGGACGGGTAGTCTCATGTGTTCATTTTCTAAAAGCATTGTCTCACTCTCTGCGTCACAAAAAAATCGTACCCGTTGTACTTACACACACGTCCGTTCAGCCAAGAAAATATTAATATCCACGCCACCCGTCGTCGTCGTCGTCTCAGAAACATAAAAAAAAAAATCACCTCGCAGAAGGGGGCCACGAACATCAGGACCTTGCGGAAGGAGCGGTTCTCGGGCGTGGCGCGGTGCTGGTCGATGGCTCCCGACACCGCCTTCCAGAAGTCGAACAAAACCTCGGGGAGGCTCGTCCCCTCGCTCACAATGTACTGCGAAGAGTGTCGGACGGAGAGGGAAGGTCCCGTCGTTCAATGTCCTATTCCATCTCCGGAGATAAACGCGCTGCGGCGTTTTTGGCCACGAACACACGCCGAAGAATACCCCTCAACCACAAAACAGATTTCTTAGCCGTGGCGACAAGATGAACACGGTGCAATCGGCTTTCCGTCTGCAAAACGATGCGTTCATAGTTACCCTAACGGCAGGCATCCTTCTTGATAAGATGGGCCAACTCACGCTAAAACTTCACCGCCCCGTCCTCAACGGCAACAAGCAGTAGTGGTGAAGGGCTTTGCAAGCACATATGAAGGTTACCCCCCTCCCTCCCCTCTCCGAGTCTACCTTGGTGTTCCTGCTGCTGTAGGTGTCGAAGGTTACGACCTTGGTCCACTCCTTCATCTCGGAGATGATATTGGTCGTGTCCTTCACGTCGGGCTTGCTGCTGGCGAGGAGAGGCTGAGGGCACAACCGCTTCCTGCCGCAGCCGCCGGTGGCCGCGCCGACACTCCTGTGGCGCAAGCACGGCGGAGAAAGACATTGTTCTCTGATCAGAAGTCGCATCTGAAAGCACAACATGACATGCATTACGTTTGCGTCGATTTAAAGCGTCTTTGGGTGTATTTCTGTGAGTATCCCGTGTTTTCTGAAGCCAATCGATCCCGTCGTGTGTCAGTTTTTCTATCTGTATCTGCAAGGCGCTTAAATACATGTCACGTGATCCAAAGCCAGAATGTAGCAAAAAAAACAGAAAAATCACCGAACAAGCAAGCCGCAACACAGCGGCATGGACACTGTGACTGCAAGGCGTGATTGTTTATTATGCCCTCCTCATGCACCGACAGGAAGTCCTTCTGCCTCGTCCTCTAACAACCCCCCCCGGCGATTTCAGCGCAGCCCTTACTATCTCCATCATCGTTTCCGTGAACGACAATATTGGTCGAATCCTTCACTCGGGGCATTAAAAGCACGGAAACACGCTGTAGCCATCAAGGGACCGCCGCCGGAATACCAAACGAACAGGGGGGGGGGGGGGGGA